CCTCTATTGACATCCACCCCTTGGCGCTCATATGACCGTATGCAGTTGCGAGAGCCGTAAAACCTTACTAAAACAAAATACTGAAAGGAATACAACAATTAGTACATTATGTACTCTGTCTGAATCTGCCTCATTGAGTCATGACGTCAGTCAGAGCGGCCATGTTGGGAGGACGGACTGAGGTTCTGCTGGGGGAAAAACTTAGAGACTCGCAGTGAAGTATGACGTGTTACTTTTCAATATTCTTTTTCCGGGGTGAGCTGGAAGCAAATCTGGTTATAAAAACACTATGTTCAGTTGTTCTTAAACTTGAAACTTTTACTCGATTAAGACGTCCCTTATTTGAAATGCACTACATACAACCCCCTCCCCTTATAAATCGCAAAATACGACTTTGATTATGTGAAAGTTATTCACAGCATTTTCTATGCCATGCAAATACAAACAGTCCCAGGAAATGGTGGATTACAACTCGCCCCACCCCCCACCCTCAATCCCCCTTTCCCCTTTTCATTTTTTCCTTTATACCTTTAGAAATTTTGATTTTACCATATCTTTGAACTTTAACTCATAAGAATCTTATTTTACAACGGCTTTTGTCCCCTTTCGGTGGACGTAACACTTTAAGACAGGACAGACGAACCCACGATCGTACAGCTGCCAATTCTCAGCTACAGTGAGACTAATAGTTTTAGTAATTATTTACGACGCTCGCAACTGCATAAGGTCATATGACCACCAAGGGGTGGATGTCAACAGAGAAGTCCAAATAAAGAATCAGGCTTACTCTGCTCACCTCTCTGGCTTCAACAGCACAAAGTCTGCTTCGACAAGAGAGTGACAAACATACAAAAGAAGTAGATGAAAATGACGATAGTAAGGATGAGGAAAGAAAAAAGCAGCAATTCCCTCTATGTTGTTCGGGCACAGTATGAGCATGGCATTGATAAATCAGGCCATTTACAATTCTATTTTGCATAAGAACATGTTAATATCCCCCCTTTGGGAATGGCCTAAAGGCACTTCAGACAGTAGCACAGCCATAGGGAGAAGGGGGGGGGGGTGACTAATAGTTAAACGTTGTCTCACTTCATTGTAGATAACTATCATCGTTCTCAATCTCCCCCCACCCTCCCCCTCTTACTCTTCACACGCGGTGTCGTTGAACATTGCTGCTTTTCTCCAACGCTGTCATTATTCTATAATATTATAAGTTTTGCGTTATGTTTCTCAAGGGAAAACCCCCCAAAAATAATTGACTAAAATTTCCACGAACTGCTAGACTCAAAGAATGTCGGTTAATATTTTTGACGCCCCCATCGAGACAGGCTTAACCGTAATAGTAGGCGGGCTATTTCGACACTAACAGTCAGCACCAGCTCTTGATGTGAGGTATACCCCATCCCAAAAGAAAGGAGATACTTCATTGACTAACTTAACCTTCTTTGAATCGAAGTCCTACCTTTTGCCTAAAAGGCGAAGAGCTTATCACATCATTTGATTCTATAAAAGACAATGGATAAAAACAATAACCTAGGAGATCTGGTCCCAAGCGTCGGAGTTGATCAATGTACTCTTCAAAGGTGAAGGACATGATGTTACTACGCGTCACCTCTTGCTCAGTGAAGTGTAACATGTAGAATTATATATATATA